CCCAGTAGTGTCTCCCAGATGTGTATCCTTCCTTTGCCAACACATAAAGGTGGGAATCAAATCTCTTCTCATTCCTGGGCACCTTCCTGATGGTGCCGGTATCTTTCACACTCTTCCCATTATTAAAGATTTCCAGTCTGGGGTGGGATGTGTCAGGATCCAGGGAGACATCCACTGCAATGATCAAGTCATTTCAGTAGTCAAAAGCATCATGGTAACCTTCCTGGCACTTTCTGTTATGTTTCCCTTCCCATTGGTTCTTTTCCCATCCCTTGTTCTCCACTCTGATGCGGTCACTTTGCCCCATATACCTCCAGCTTCTGCTGTCCCAAATCTCCCATCTATGGAACACTGAGAGTGTGGTCAGCACACATCAAATGCAAAGCGACTCAAAGACACCCCCTCTAAAATGTCATGTAGCATCAGGGAGGATTGTAGGCGAGGTGAACAGAGAGAACTGTGCTTTCAAGTTGTGAAGTTTCTTGTGCAGCAAATGAAGAAGAGAAAGAACAAGGAAGAATTCCTGCTCTTCAGAAGCCAACTGAACAAGGATCTGAACAACCGTTGCTTGTGGAGGAGGAATGTGTTGTCCAGAGCTGCATTCAGGCTGCGGGAGATGGCATTCAGCACGGGTTCCTTTCTTACCTTTGTGTCGTTGTTTCTTCAGAAATTCTGTAGGAAGACAAAAAAAGGAGATATTGAGTGGTTTTAACATGGAGACCACGGTTCCAGTGAGCTCATGCAGTCTATGTGGCTGGAAGAGGAACATGCTTTTCTGCCGCAGCAAGTCTTTAGTACAGGTCAGAAAGCACATCCTAAGCCTGTCTCATCCTCTGAAGAGGAAAAGCCAGTGGGACTCTTGAGTGATGGGTCTCACAGAAGCATTTTAAACACACCATGAACAGAGAGGACAGAGGACATGGTCCTTCATAGGAAAGAGACCGGACCACTAAAAAGGCCAAAGCCTCATGTCTACAGAGGTATCCCATAGCTGTCATGAAAGGGAAAATCCCAGTGTCTTCCAGACACGTCACAATACCTCACTGCAAAACTGCTTCATAACCCCATTCCTGTATGTTTTAAGGGAATGGATTCCTTCCAGTCCAGAATTTATCCCATGAACTAATTCTTATCGCTTTGGCCTAATTATGTCTCTGGGACAAAGGTGATCCTGAACATGACATGATGTTTTCCAAGAAAACGGAGTGATGTGAAAGCACTTTGCTGAGCTGAGGAAGACAATGTCACTTACTCTTTCCTGTCACTGATTGGTATGTAATGACAAAGAGAAGAGAGATTAAAACCAGAGTCAGAATCATAGGCATTTGTAGAAGAGGACTATAAAATAGGGATGCTCTTCTGCTCTCTCTCAAACAAAAAAACCCCAAAAAAAAACCACCAAAAAAAGGCCCATGGTCACTACAGGCAATGAAACAGGGCTGGAGAGGGTAAGACTAGACATATGGGGAACATACACCTTGACCAAGCCACGGCCCTGCACATCATTCCCTCAGCTCTTACAAAGCATTCCTTAACGTCACTGGATCTTCCCCTGCACAAGGCGGTGGGGTCAGGAAGCTTTCCTGAGCTGAGTCCATACTTGAAAGACATCTCAGCAGCTGAGTGTGTTTTCAGCCACGTAAGAAAGGAAAGGCCACTTACTATTTTCTCTCTCCAGTTGCTCTGTAATGACAAAGAACACAGGAAAGAAATGAAAGGCATTTGCATTTGCCTGGGATGCCCATCTGAAGAATGGAGGCCCTCCTGCCCTCCCTCTGCAGAGGCCCATGGACACCACAACCTCTCTTTTCCACAACAATCTTTTTCCATGGGGAACGTTCCCCTTGGCAACTGTGGACTCCCACTTGGAAGGACGAGACCCCTTACCAGGGCCCATGACTTCTCCCCGGGCTTTCCTCTTCAAGGCACCGTAGGGGAAGAAGGGCCCAGGGCAGAGAGGGAGGCAAGAAGCAGGCTCTGTTTGAGACTTGAAGGGAGTAAGGCTGCACCAGGGACACAGAGCACTCCCCATTCCCAACCGGCTCTCGAGGGACAAGCAGCCACCCACACAGCAAGCAGCACTCACCGATTGTCTCATTCGGATTTGCTGCAAAGGAAAGGAGAAAGGCAGATGAGATGGGCAGAAGGAGGATGTATTGCCTGAAGCCCCAGGGAAGGTGTTTGCTGGAGCTGGGAGTCTCTTGCAAAGTGCATTCATGGACTAGTGCAAGTGTGTGCTGAGGGCAAGCCCTGTCCCCGGAAAACAGGAAGGTGCTCACAAACAATGCCTCTGTCCTCACCGAAAATCATATCTATCCACCCCACTGCTCAGTCTTTCCTGCTTTCTTTCCTCCCTCCGTTCTTCCTCACAGTTTGTCTTTTCTTCCCACATGACCATTTTTTCAGGACCAAGCCTTTTATGCAGATGCCAGCCACACCTGAAGGCCTCAGCGAGCTTGCCTGCACATGGGCACCTGCTGCTGAGACCCCAAGGACACCAGACTCATGGCCCACAAGGAAACACCCTTCTCCCACACACACCACCATGTCCCTCTTGGAAAGAGCCTCTCCTTGCTGGCTGGCAAGACCCCAGAGAGCACACTCATCCTTCTCCTTCTGCTCCTCAGCTACAAAAGGAAGGAGATAAAAACAATTAGAAAAGAGAGATTGTCAGGCTCATTGCCCCTCTGGCTTCCAGAGCTGGTGGGGTTTGGCTGCATCTGCCTTTCCTTTGCCTGACTTCATGGTTACTTGCGGGAAAGGGCTCTGCCAAAGGAGGACAGGTTGGCATCTGCCCAGCATGGGCTCAAAGAAGCTGCAAGGCCAAGTGCTACAGGAAAGCCTAGAAGCATGGCCAGGTGACAAATGGAGAGAGATTTGGAGGCCACAGCTGGCATTGAATCCTCAGGTTTGGGCTGTCAAGTTTAGAGGAGATAGTGAGACTTTGGAGAGGCATTAGGGGAGAGCTCCCCATCTTTGCAGGAGAGTGCAGGTCTCTTCTTCCTGCACTGTGAGGAGAGGCCAGGGGCTCCTTCCAGGTTGTCAAGAGGAGAGGAAGGAACTACCTCCAAGGAGCCTGTAGCTCCAGGAAAGGCCGAGCCCAGGAGGATGGTGAGAATGATTGGTAGATGGCAGGAGACTCTGGTCAGGGAAGCATGGCTGTGAAAAGCATCTGTGCTGGGAGAGAATACAGCTTTTCGTAACAATAGCCTAGACAAGGCTGAAATCCATCTTCAGAGAGCAGCGAGGCACAGGCACCCTTTGGAGAGACACCTGAGCTGGGAGAGACACAGCCCTTGGAGATTCCCCGGACTGGGGTTGCCCGTGCCCAGGTGGAACAGCAGGCATTGCTCCTAAACCTGCCACGTCCAACCCAATGTCACACTGGCCATCACGCGAGCTCCCTTCCCACCGCCTTTACTGTGAGCCTGAGAGGGCAGGACTCTCCATGCAGCCATGGACCAAGCCACGGCCCTGCAGATCATTCCCTCAGCTCTTACAAAACATTCCTCAACATCACAGGATCTTCCCCTGCAGAAGGCAGTGGGGTCAGGAAGCTTTCCTGAGCTGAGTCCATGCTTGAAAGACATCTCAGCAGCTGAGTGTGTTTTCAGCCGCGTCAGAAAAGAAAGGTCACTTACTGTTTGTTCTCAGCAGTGGCTCTGTAATGACAAAGAACACAGGAAAGAAAGGGAAGGCGTTTGCATTTGCCTGGGATGCCCGTCTGAAGAATGGAAGCCCTCCTGCCCTCCCTCTGCAGAGGCCCATGGACACCACAGATCTGTTTTCCATAAGAACCTTTTCCCATGGGGAACGTTCCCCTTGGAAAGTGTAGACTCCCACTTTGAAGAACGAGACCCCTTACGAGGGCCCATGACTTCTCCCCGGGCTTTCCTATTGAAGGCACCATGTGAGAGCGGTGGTGTCAGGTGGGGGAAGGAGGGCCCAGGGCAGAGAGGGAGGCAAGCAGCAGGCTCTGTTTGAGGCTTGAAGGGAGGCAGGCTGCACCAGGGACACAGAGCACTCCCCATTCCCAGCCGGCACTCGAGGGACAAGCAGCCACCCACACAGCAACAAGCACTCACCAATCTTCTCATTCAGTTGTGCTGCAAAAGAAAGGAGAAAGGCAGATTAGATGGGCAGAAGGAGGATGCATTGCCTGAAGCCCCAGGGAAGGTGTTTGCTGGAGCTGGGAGTCTCTTGCAAAGTGCGTTCCTGGACTAGTGCAAGTGTGTGCTGAGGGCAAGCCCTGTCCCCAGAAACCTTGAAAGTGCTGACAAAAAATGACTCTGTCCTCACGGAAAATCATGTTTCTCCACCCCACTAGTCTGTCTTCCTTTCCTTCTTCCCTTCTTCTTGATATTTTGTCTTTTATTCCCACATGACCCCTTTTCAGGAGCAAGTCCTTCAGGCAGATTCAGCCACACCTGAAGGCCTCAGCTAGCTTGCCTGCACATGGGCACCTGCTGCAGAGGCCCCAAGGACACCACACTCATAGACCACAGGGAAACACCCTTCTCCCACACACACCACCAT